GACCTTTCGTGTGTAAGACGAACGTGATCACCACTACACTATGGAAACAGGTGACATCGCAGTTGTTTATATCGGGGCTGTAAACCTAGCTAACTGATAGCAGGGACTGCTGGAGGGCACAGCTCCTTTTAAGCCTCTGTTCCTCGTTTGTGTAGTGGAGAGTATCTCTGCCTGTCACGCGGAAGACTGGGGTTCGATTCCCTGACTGGGAGTTGTTGTAATTTTAATCATTTTGGTGATGCAGTTTTTCAGACCAAATTAAAAAGAAGCAGGGATTGTTTCTACCCAGTTTCGATCTGGGGATCTTTCGCGTGTTAGACGAATGTGATAACCATTACACTATGGAAACAGGTGACATCATAGTTTTTTATATCGGGGCTGTCAACCTAGCTAATTGATAGCGGACGGTGTTTTGGAGGGTACAGCTCATTTTAGCCTGTGTTCCTCATTACTATAGTGGGCACTATCTCCTGTCACGCGGAAGACCGGGTTCGATTCCCTGACGGATCGTTGTTGTGACTCTAATCATTATGGTGATCCAGTTTTTCACAGCAAATCAAAACGGAGTCAGGATTGTTTCCACCCATGTACGAAATGGGGACCTTTCGTATGTTAGAAAAATGTGACAACCACTACACTATGGAAAGAGGAGATACCACTGTCTTTCATTTCAGGGCTGTCATCCCAGCTTACTGATAGCAGAGGCGCGAGGATCTCCTTTTAAGCCTGTGTTCCTCGTTAGTATAGTGGACAGTATCTCCGCCTGTTGCGCGGAAGATCGGGTTTCGATCCCCTGATGGGGATGTGTTGTAATTTTTCATCATTTTGGTGATGCAGTTTTTCAGAGCAAATTAAAAAGGAGCAGGGATTGTTTCCACCCAGTTTTGAACTGGGGACCTTTCGTGTGTGAGACGAATGTGATAACCACTACACTATGTAAACATATGACACCATGGTTTTTCAAATCAGGGCTGTCAACCCAGCTAACTGACAACGGCATTTTGGAGGGCGCAGCTCCTTTGAACCCTGTATTCCTCGTTATCTAATGGACAGTATCTTCGCCTGTCACGCGTAACTGGGGACCTTTCATGTGTAAGACGAACGTGATAACAACTACACTATGGAAACAGGTGACATCATAGTTTATATATCGGGGCTGTAAACCTAGCTAACTGATAGCAGGGACTGTTTTGGAGGGCACAGCTCCTTTTAAACCTCTGTTCCTCGTTAGTATAGTGGAGAGTATCTCTCCCTGTCACGCGGAAGACTGGGGTTCGATTCCCTGACGAGGAGTTGTTGTAATTTTAATCATTTTGGTGGTGCAGTTTTTCACACCAAATTAAAAATGAGAAGGGATTGTTTCCACCCAGTTTCGAACTGGGGACCTTTGGCGTGTTAGACGAATGTGATAACCACTACACTATGGAAACATATGACACCATGGTTTTTTCAAATCAGGGCTGTCAACCCAGCTAACTGACAGCAGGGACAGCATTTTGCACAGCACAGCTCCTTTGAACCCTGTATTCCTCGTTAGTCGAGTGGACAGTATCTGCGCCTGTCACGCGGAAGACCGGGGTTTGATTCCATGATGGGTGGTTGTGATTTTAATCAATTTGGTGATCCAGTTTTTCAGAGCAAATTAAAAAGGAGCAGGGATTGTTACCACCCAGTTTCGAACTGGGGACCTTTCGTGTGTGAGACGAACGTGATAACCACTACACTATGGAAACAGACGACACCACAGTTTTTTATATCGGGGCTGTAAATCGAGCTAGCTGATAGCAGGGACGGTGTTTTATCGGGAAGATCTCCTTTTAAGCCTGTGTTTCTCCTGAGGAGAGTGGACAGTATCTCCGCCTGTTTCGCGGAAGACTGGGATTCGATTCCCTGACGGGGAGTTGTTGTAATTTTAATCATTTTGGTGATGCAGTTTTTCAGAGCAAATTAAAAAGGAGCAGGGATTGTTTCCACCCAGTTTCGAACTGGGGACCTTGCGAGTGTTAGACGAATGTGATAACCACTACACTATGGAAACATATGACACCATGGTCTTTCAAATAAGGGCTGTCAACCAAGCTAACTGACAGCAGGGACGACATTTGGGACGGCACAGCTCCTTTGAACCCTGTATTCCTTGTTTGTCGAGTGGACAATATCTTCGCCTGTCACGCGGAAGACCGGGGTTTGATTCCATGATGGGTGGTTGTGATTTTAATCAATTTGGTGATCCAGTTTTTCAGAGCAAATTAAAAAGGAGCAGGGAATATTTCCAACCAGTTTCAAACTGGGGACTTTTCATGTGTAAGACAAACGTGATAACCACTACACTATGGAAACAGGTGACAACAGTTTTTCATATCAGGGTTGTCAACCCAGGTAACTGACAGGTACTGTTTTTTTTTTTTTTTTTTTGGAGGGCACAGCTCCTTTTAAGCCTGTGTTCCTCGTTTGTGTCGTGGAGAGTATCTCCACCTGTCACGCGGAAGACCGGGTTAGATTCCCTGACGGGGAGTCGTTGCAGTTTTAATCATTTTGGTGATGCAGTTTTTCAGAGCAAATTAAAAAGAAGCAGGGATTGTTTCCACCCAATTTCGAACTGGGGACCTTTCGTGTGTGAGACTAATGTGATAACCACTACACTATGGAAACAGGTGAAGTCACAGTTTTTTAGATCGGGGCTGTCAGCCTAGCTAATTGATAGCGGGGACGGTGTTTTGGAGGGTACAGCTCATTTTAGCCTGTGTTCCTCATTAGTATAGTGGGCAGTATCTCCTCCTGTCACGTGGAAGACCGGGTTCGATTCCCTGACGGATCGTTGTTGTGACTCTAATCATTATGGTGATCCAGTTTTTCACAGCAAATCAAAACGGAGTCAGGATTGTTTCCACCCATGTACGAAATGGGGACCTTTCGTATGTTAGACAAATGTGACAACAACTACACTATGGAAACATATGACACCATGGTCTTTTCAAATCAGGGCTGTCAACCCAGCTAACTGACAGCAGGGACGGCATTTTGGACGGCACAGCTCCTTTGAACCCTGTATTCCTCGTTAGTCGGGTGGACAGTATCTTCGCCTGTCACGCGGAAGACCCGGGTTTGATTCCATAATGGGTGGTTGTGGTTTTAATCAATTTGGTGATCCAGTTTTTCAGAGCAAATTAAAAAGGAGTAGGGATTGTTTCCACCCAGTTTCGAACTAGGGACCTTTCGGGTGTGAGACGAACGTGATAAACACGACACTATGGAACCATGTGACATCACACTTGTTTATATCAGGGCTGTCAACCCAGCTAACTGATAGCTGGGACGGTGTTTTTGCGGGAAGATCTCCTCTTAAGCCTGCGTTCCTCGTTAGTTTCGTGGACAGTTTCTCTGCCTGTCACGCGGAAGACCGGGGTTCGATTCCCTGATCGGGAGTTGTAATTTTCATCATTTTGGTGATGCAATTTTTCACAGCAAATCAAAAAGGAGTCAGAATTAGTTCCACCCAGTTTTGAACTGGGCACCTTTCGTGTGTAAGACGAACGTGATCACCACTACACTATGGAAACAGGTGACATCACAGTTTTTTTATGTCAGGGCCTTCAACCCAGGTAACTGATAGGTACTGTTTTGGAGGGCACAGCTGCTTTCAAGCCTGTGTTCCTTATTAGTATAGTGGTCAGTATCTCCGTCTGTCACGCGGAAGACCGGGGTTCGATTCCCTGACAGGGAATTGTTGTAATTTTCATCATTTTGGTTGATGCAGTTTTTCAGAGCATATCAAAAAGGAGTCAGGATTGTTTCCAACAAGTTTCGAACTGGGGAACTTTCGTGTGTGAGACGA